GCCACTTTACCGGCTCTCCACACTCTGGTCCAGGTAGCTCTATGGACTAGTGAGACAGGTCCCCTGAAGTTTTCAACGTCAGGCGGACTCGTGGTTTCAAATAAAAGACAAATATATAACTCTTTGTTTTTATTTAGGTGTGTGTCTCATACACATTGAAAATTGAGAATGACCAAGTAGCCTAACTTTGTTGATACACCCCTGAACTGTTGAAATACAAGTCTGAGCTCGAACTCGACTCGAATCAAATGAGGGTAAAAAGAAAAAACAAATCAAGGGTACTTCAAGTGCTTTGTTGAGCACACTTGAAACCTGAAGTCTTGCAGGCCGGGGATTTCACCATTTCAAGAGGAACTCTTGAAACTTGTGTTACCAGTGGGGCGGTCCAACAAGGGACCGGCTAGGAAAATCCGGTGGGGGTCGGTTCGACATTAGACCCCCTAGGAAGGCCTGAACATGCAGCCCATTTATGGACAGCCCCGGGGCAGCCCGGGCGGGGCCGGTCCTGCACGATACGCGGTCGGATGACCCACATATGCGGCCCACCAAGGGTCAGAAGAGTGTTGAGCGCATCGACCCAAGTACGGGTTGTGCACACACGATGGTCCTCCTGATCATGTTACGCACGATGCTTATTAATGTGAGGAAGAGAGCGAAGTCTTCTTTGGTCAAGTGCTCGAACTATACTTCTTACGACTCTCTGCAACCAGACATAGTGTTGGCGAGTATAACCTTCCTCCGCCCAAAAAGTTGTCATCGTCGTTTGACAAGCGTATCCCTATCGACCTACTAGTTCATGCAGGACAACTTTTACATGTTGCACAAGAGGATATGTACTTGTTTAGAAATTTGATAAGCAACGTCGTCATTGAATCCTTGTTGGATTTATGTCTTGTCTTTATCATGTTTAAGTACTGTCACAGTTATAGTAGTCAAAGTTTAAGATGTTCATCAACAAAATGAAATGTTTCACGTATGTTGATAGACAATGAGTTCTGGTATCACCGATAAGTTTTTTATTTTGTAATAATGAGTTAATTTACACATGCATCCTTCTTTTACCTTGAGTTCCATCATATTACACAAGAACTTCCAATTTTTTACATTATCGATGAAATTTGTACTCACTTAGTAATTTGTTACGCATATGAGTTTCAGATATCAATGCAAAATTTAAGTTGTTAATTTTATGCAATATACAAGTCACATAGCTCCTGAATGCATTTATACGCAAGAGACTTAGTGATCTCTGCACAATAAATGAAAAACCAAGATTGTTAATTTATCCATTGTCGATGAAATCCACACTAAGTGTTTAATTGGTCACGTTAAGATTTTCGAATATGAATGAAAAGTTTTCGATTAGATGCAATGTAAGAAGTCACAAGACATCTGAATGGATGTACACGCAAGATACTTTATTATCTTTGCATAATCAACAACAAATTTTTTTTTTCAAAATTAAATATTCATTCTATAGTAAAATTACATTCTAAATTTTAAATTTTCATTCCATCTTAAAAAATGTCATTCCAATTTTAAAATTTTTCGTCTTACTTGAGAACTTTCCTTCCAAGACTTGGGTATCCCTTCTTATTTGAACTGCATGCAAGAGTTGGAATGAAAGTCTGGATGAGTTCATGAAATATTTTAATTGGACTGTCACTCTAAGTAAGGATTTTAAGTCATAAATAGGTTAATCCAATCTAAATTAGAAGATATTTGTTGTCGTAGAATGAAAGTTTAATTAAAAAAATTTATAAACTCGTTCATACTTTCATTCCATCCTGAACAAATAGATGTAATTGGAGGGGAAAGCTTTTATTTAGACGGGAATTTATCAAATAAAACTGAAAATTTTAGAATTAGACAAACATTGGAATGATATAATTTATAAATATGAAGGATTTTTTTTTTATGGAATGTTTTTTCAACTTTCGTTTCTCGTGGGAATTTTTTCTGTTGAATCGCACGCTCTGTCTGACATTGTCGAATTCTTACTTGCATCCTCATTTCACTTTTTCATATTACATAACAAGTTCGAATATGTAATGTAAATGATATCCACACTTAAGATTCTCCAACATAAGAATTTGCAATATGAAATTCAATGCAAATTAGTTCCAAAGTAGAAAATCAAAATCAAATCTCGACAAAGACAGTGACCTTATCACACTAGATGTAAACTCGTAAGAATAAAAAGAAAAAATGACGTGCATTTTGTCATGTGACCATTAGTTTGTTGAATATGTATCACAACTTATTTATCTAAAGAACAATCAGTATTTCAAAATAAATTTTGGAAGTGTTATACCAACATTAAACAAAAACAGGCTTCAAGTATGCAGGTTGCCAATTGTTGTCTAATATTGGGGATATCTCTCTAAGAGAATGTGAAAGGTGGTCGATGACCACGTAATAACATTGTTGCAAACATCAATACGAACACCCCACAACTCGCCTCATCCACTTGTATTGAAACTCCTTCCATCACAATATTTGTCTTCATAGACTTCCAACTTCTTTGCGACTCGCTATGTAATGTTTTCTGTTTCAAATACTTTACAACTAAACTGAAGAGACTACTTGTGAAATCACTATCAGCTATAACGCGATGAAAAAAATCAAAACCTTCTTACACATTGTCGTTTACGTTGATGGAAAGTAGGATCCGGTGATCATTATCTTTGTGAGCATGCATAAAGATAATATCATAATAAAGTATATTTATTTATTTTGTCCATCTTCGTACCCCACTGAATCCTTGAAAACGAATTGAAGCTGAAGAAACGAAGATCTGACAACATGTTACAAGTCGCACACAAAGTCGACCCCAAAAGAACCATGTAAAAATTCACAACTTCATCATTAACCTTGTCGACAATATGTAAAAAAAAAAAAAAGATATTTTACTGCAATAGGCAAATAATTCTCTGGGAGGGTAGAGAGAACTTTGAAAGACGGCACGGAACCTCGTATAATGTCTTCAATAACCCACAAGCGATGAGGCACAAGTGTTGCAGTGAAGCTTCCCCCATGTGCTCCACCCATTGTGATGAGCACTGCACAACACCGAGCAGCGAACACGCCGACTAATGAGAAACATGGTTCTAAGAAATGTCATGCGTAGCACGACGCATTACCAAATAATTTTGATACATGGTCTGACCCCTAGTTACAGATCGTTGATATTTCCCCTTGTTTGGGGACAGAAGGGAAAAACACTGCTCAATGGCTATGGCATGCAATATGTGTGTCGGTTTCGACATCAACCCCTGACGTCTTTAAAATATCTTTACTTTTTGTCGTCAACTTGAAGACTTTCTGCAATATGTGCGTCGGATATTTCAAGGACCTCCTTGTGCGAGATAACCCTCTCCCTGTAAAACAGAAGAAAAAACAAAAAATGAATACACATCTTCCAACTCGGATCTAATGAAAGTATGATGCAAACGAAGAGCGCAACTTATAAGACCAAAACCTTTACAAACACCGAGTACCGACTCTCTATCACTCTAACCATCGAGACACGCGTGTGTCGGCGGACAACAAAGTGAAGAACGCATGCGAGCTTCACCCTCCCGCCGTAGACATATAATAAGTCTAAATAGCTTAAGAAGCCAGAAAAACGGTTGCCGTCGAAGTTCAAATTTCGGTGGACTTCTATCCACGCTATGCACACACGAAGGGACCACAGTACAAATCAACATAGGAATTGTGAATCCTTGTGGACTTCAACCACCACCCCCGTCGACCAGAGGAAATTGCACGTCTTTTGAGTCGGGCATGGTTTGGGGATGGGGGCGGAGACCGTTGTTTAGATTAAAAAAAAAAAAAAAACGAAACACCATCAAGGAAAACTTCTTTTTATAATGTTTTTTCGTTGGCATACTTCGGCAACTGAATATGGTCATATAACGTGGATGAAAGTTCGCCGGAATCCAGACTTCGGTGGCAGACGCCCTCTAATTTTCGATGTCTTCCTTCTATGGCCACAACGTGGGTGAATAAAGGAGAATGACGTTGTTTGCCAATTACCAACCGACCAATCACTGGGCTCCATCATAATTGCAGTCGGTGTGGCCAAGGCCAACACCACGACAACTGGAGTGCTGTCAACATAGGATACGTTGGTTGAGCTAAAGTGGTTGTAGGCTCGGATTGTTTGTCGTCCCTTGCCCACGGGCCTTAATGTTCAATGTAACAGAGGGTTGTGTCGACGCCGGCTGACCACCGAGGATGCTAGTGATAACTTCGTCGACATTTTAACGACGAACCGGTTTCTGCGGGGTCACAGCGATAGAACCTTCGAGAGACCTGTGGTGAAGCTCGGAAACAGGCGGAAGTGGTTCAAATTCATAGCTTGTATGCGTTCAGAGAGCTCGTAAATGACGTGCGTCTCCATCTCCATCGCCATTGTATCGTTGTAGACTCTACGCCCACGATGTTGTCCGTATAGCCGTCCGAACTTGTCAGATGAGTCACCAGATCGGCGTCCTTTTCTATGTATCACCCGCGGCCGCAGGGTCAAACTCGGAGAGCGGCCGTGATCACGGCCACCGCAGCTCCGGCCGCAGTTGGGTGAGGTCGCGACTTTCAAGAATCTGTTTAGACTTAGTAAAAGTAAAAAAAAAAATTTTTGAAAAAAATGGGGTTGTAGTCTTGTAGATCTTTTCGAGATCTAAATTGTGAAATTCTTAATTTTATTTTTTGACTTCGTCTTCAAATTTAAAAAATTCAAAAACTTATTTTCCTGAGGCAGAAACTGTTTTTTTTTTTTTTTTTTTTTTTAARAAAAACTATGAAACTTATGTGTTTTTTTTAATTTTCAATTCAGTAACGTTTTTGGATATGACCACAAGGCAAAAGTTTCTCAGTATATTTTTCTGCATAACATATTCTGCTTTCTGAATTTTTTTTGAATTTTTTTTTTTTCATGGTCGCGGGGTCGTGGCCTAGGCCGTGCATGACCGCCTCCAGGGTAGATTCATAGGTCCTCTTCAATCCCCTGCACATCAGAACCCTCCATGCTTTCTTCCTTTCGCTCCCCTTCACCCCTTTCCATTATTTATTCCTCTTCATCCACTTCATCCTCCACATTTGTTTTGTCCCCCTCGTCCCTGTCATCCACTTCATCAAAATTCCGCTTCTTCCGCTTCTTCCCCTTCTCCCCTTTCATCCCCGTCGTCCCCTTCGTCTCCTTTTTCCCCTTCATGCACTTCACCCTCTTCACCCGAGCCCGTGTCGAATATGGATGACTGCCTGTCGCTTCGACGGATGGAGCTCCTCCCACCACCACATAAATTTCCGTTGGAAGACCCCCTTCAGATGAAGTGTAATGGATCCAGGCGGACTTCGACGTCTCGTGGTCGACAAACGCTCGACGTCTCGTGGTCGACAAACGCTTCGACTCCGGGCACTTGCTCCATTGCCGCTGCCCGCCCCTCCTCATTAACCGAGTTCCGCCCCGCGCAGCAGCAATCGCAGACAAAAGACTACCTCCCATTGAAGTGCGGATACCGACGAATTACGACACAGCGTCCTGGTTAGGCACACCTTCCCTCGAGTCGACCTCCACAGTTGAACCCCGACTTGACGCACGAGCCGGTGAATTACGGATGTGACAGACTTGGATGGTTTGGCAGTGGATGAGATCGACGGACGATATGTTGAGCCACGAGACGACGTCTCGTATGTCGAACTCCGCATATTGGCGGACTTCCACTTTTGGATTCAACTGGAGCCCCTAGACGGATGCCGACCAACCCCTTTACCCCCCCCCCCCCCCCCTCGGCGGCCTTCTGTTCTCGTGCCCACGTTATGAGGCCCACCGTCTCCACTACTCGGGCGCCCTTTGCCAGCCCTTTGGCCACAGTGCCCATCCCCTCTACCGCAGGGAGGGCTCCCCCCTGGAGTTCCCATTCCTTCAGGCGGAGGCGGCACCTTCAATTCACCCTTCTCTTGGAAGGGCTCGTGTCGAGGTCATAGAATTCAGGAGCCGGTTTCAACAAACGATGGTCATGAAGTTCGTGGTACACACGATCACAAGTCGATTCGATGGACTGGTGATCTTCTGGAATGCCTTTATTTTCGACCCTGACTTTCTCGACGACCGCCACCTATACAATGTCAAGGAACCTGGCCTTGGACTCACAATCACATGCCACCCATCCCGCTGGGTTATCACCGAGGGTCATGAACCACCTACCTCCTTTGATCACTGGTTGTATAATCCCCGAGTGCCAAATCATGTTGTGCCCCCAATCCGCCATAGTCTATCGAGTGTGTGTATGTCCTTCAAAGTGAATGTTGTCATCCCTCCAACAATGATGATCTTGCGGAACTTCACTCCTGGGACGCAACGTGGTCGACGAGGCTGAAAGAAGTTTCAGTTTTCTTAGCAACGAGGTCGGGGTTATCGCAGGGTCGAAGCGAGTACTTATGACACTTCGGGGGCTTAGCTTCCTGTAGGAGCGGCCAACAAGAACCCTGGGGCGTGCTCCACTACAACCTTTAAGTTGTCGTAATGAAGGTCGATGCTCTCATTGTCGCTTTCGTCCTCCTTTGACTTTGCATCAAACACGACACCGGTTTCTTTCTCATCCTCCGTGGAGATCAAGGCCGCATAACTGCCCAACTCTAATTTTGGTTCAGATTCAACGAAATACAGTCTGTATAGACACTCGAGGTTGTCAAGGAAGGACTTCGCATTTTTGCTTGACATGTCATGGTAGTTGCCCAACAACGCCAGCATGTGCTCCTTCAGGCGGACGCACTCAACATCACCATCCTTCTTCGGTCGTGCATCCAAGAAAAGGAACATGTAGATCTTGTTTCTCTTCCGCCTAGTCAACTTGAACCACATGTCCATACTCGGGTCCCACACCCGCTCCCGTCTGTCATTCATTACCACAAACTCGCAGTTGTTGGCCCCAAAGTTCACCTCGCTTTTGATGAAGTCCATCGTGAACTGCAACAACTCGGAGTTCCCTTCCAATGAACAACGTGGCGGCCAGATATGTTTGTGGGGTTTCCCAAGGAACACAACACCCTCTCTCTTTTTGAAGAGGAATTCTAGAAGACCGACCAATAGGGTGGGGTTGCATTCCATGTCCTTGTAGACCTTGCCATCTCTCCCTGGTGCGGTTAGCAACCAATTGCACGACTCGAAGGGAATGTCGGATATGTCTGCGGGGGTTATTTTTTTAGGCATCCGAACAGCTGCGGTGTCACCCTCTCCGAGCCTCCCTTCATGCACGCCGGACGTTTTTCCTCGCAAATCGTCGCCCTTAAACAAAATATAATGGTGATCCGCCTCATGTACATTGTGTCTGACAGAAAAAAATTTCTTTTGTTGAACCCTCCTCACCCACTTCCCTATTAGTTACCTAATAACATAAAAATGATGTAGTCTGGTCATAAACGAGAGGTCTCACTACCGCGGCACAAAAGCAACGAGCGTCCAATACGTCGGACACACGAATTGCAGAAGCAAATGCAAAGACCCGAACGCTTAAGGTGTCAAGTGTTTGAGGTCAACAGGCTCACAAAAATCGAGAACGTAGGTGTGACATTTCGTGTGATTCACTACCTCCTACAACTCCGCTCTCCTGACCTATGCCTATAGGGGTTCGTTGTCGAAGAGTGCGAGGGACGTAATGACCGACATTACTCTGCATTTTATTTCAGAAAATGTGCGCAATGTGTTCGACAAGTGCAATCTTCTTGCTTTTCAACCTGTTGTCAGTCAACACAAACAAGATGTTGTTCTTCCACGCAAGGGACAACTTCTTATGACTCGTGATATTTTTTGTGTCCTCTGTAGTCCTGTTGTCCTCACAACCCATGTACGACAGAAAGTCCTCGAGCAGTCCTGAGTCAGCGATGTGTTCCCTCCTCACGACTTACAACTCGGCGTTCAGTCCAAGCCTCTCGTACTCTTTGAAAATCGAAGTCATTTTCTTGCGAAAGGGGTATTGCTGATTCCACTCAGAATCGAGTTTCTTCTTGTGCTTGAACTCATAAAAGTTTCATAAGCACACTAGCACATGTTCACACTTAACCAAGTGTACTATTTCCTGTATTTCTGACTTCCTTTGCTTAGAAAAAAACTTTAGAAAGCAAAGGATAAACGAGGATATTCTTTTGTCTCAAAGCATAATCTGTTTAACTCTTACGCAAAGTCGGAGTAGGCCGCACGGACGCTCAAAACATATGTATGTACATATATAAAAATGTTATATAATGTGAGACGATCACTTCTCACAATCACATTGGGACTCCTCTCAGCCATATATGTATGTAATCGCAGACATTCACATCCAAAGTCCGAACCACAAACATACTTGCAATCATATCAAAGATGCAATCGAAGTCCATACACTACACGGGGTCAATTTCAACCACTCGTTGTTTTCATACCCCTCACATTAGCCATATAAGCCCCAACCTTTGTCCAACCTTCCATAAATAAAGCACTCAGTATCTTTGTTAAATGATCATTTAATAAAGTCCGGGTAAAAACCCAACGAAACAATTCAAACAACAGGGCTAAAACCTTTAGGTTGAGTTGGCAATAGTGAACTGGAGTTAAATCGTAAACCCACGAATTGACAACCGACATGTTATTAGTGATAATAGAAGATGATCCTCGTGCGATCAACTAAAACTAGTCCAATATTGAATTGAAATATCCAAAGAAGATCTATGACACAAGACAAGTCAAATTGAATGCCCAAGGCTAGACTATCTGTGTATAGAGAATAAATATCCATAACATATTCTCACTCATAATTCTTCTTATACTAAGTTTAAGTCTACCTCTAAGCAAGTGCCCAAAGAAGGTAGACCTTTGACAACATATTCCCTATTTAAAGCAGATTGTCAGAATCGTCACCTGTCAAAAATTTAATCTATCTCTTTTAAACTAAGAAAACATTGGCAGTGCTTCCCGTAAGAAAAAGTGTCTTTTCATAATTTATATTAGCTCGAATACGAAAACTGAAATAATCTCTAACTCTGAAAAGTCAAATTTTGTCTAACTCCCTGAATTAGTAAAACTTTGGGCAACATCTCCTCTAGAGAAGTAGAATTCTCAGATTCATACTCACTTAGATAAGAACTCGAATATAAGACTTGAGTTCTGTCAAGACAGAATTTAACTAACTCCTTAGATTTATAGAAATTTCGACAGCTCTTGCCGTCGAGAAAGTAACTTTTAAAAATTTATACAAAGCTAATTTCAGAATCTGAAATAATCTTGACTTTTCAAAATCAAATTTTGTCTAACTCCCTGAATTAACAAAAAATTGGGCAAAACTGTCCCTAGAAAAGAAGGTTTTCGCTAAGCCAGATATAAAGCTTGGACAAAAAGTTGAACTTTGAAAGGCAGATTTGACTAACATTTTGGTTTTATAGAAATTTCGGCAGTGCTTCCCGTATAAGAAGTACCTTTCCAATATTTATACAAAGCCAAGTATAAAAAATGATCCCAGAAAATGCAAGAATTGACCTAAGTAAACAAAGTTAGCTCATAAAATACAGAATTTGAACTAACTCCTATGACTCTAGCACGTGGCGACCAACTTACGCAACTACCCGTCAAACTGAAACTCAGACTAAGTAGAGATCTCACTCAGCCACATGCAAAACCAAACCACAATCGCAAGTACTCTCAACATTCCCAAGGTCAAACCTTGTTAAACAATAGTTTGTAGTCTTTCAATGATTTATCTCTTCTACCCAATTTACATAGGGCGTTGTCGGTGCGAATACCCTTACAAGGGTATCCGCACTGGTTTTTGCAGGTGGCAGAAAATAGTTTGGTTTAGAGTTTAGGTACGCCGCGCTGGGCGTGGCCGCGTCGGTGATTTACGTTGACCGGGTGGTGGACTAGAATAGAGAGTGTGTGGGCGCGCAGATTTTTGAGACGCGTGTGATCTTCTTAATTGTTGATGACTGAAGGGTCGGCATGATCGTCGGCCGGAATTTTTCCTTCTGATTAAATAAGGGTAAAAAGATTATGTCGCGTTGATTGTTGTGCTCGCCTGTGTCCTGTGTGTATGCACGGAAGACGACATCGACAGCAATGTCACTTCTGAACGCGTCCCGGTAGCTTGGCGCGTCGCGCAGTATCTGTTCATTTAGGCGTCCGCCAATGCTAGACCCACGTTCGGGCCTAGCGCCGTTTAGTTATGGCGTCGGGCTTTCGTCGGGGAGATTCGGGGATCGAGGACGAGCGACGACAATGCGGGAATATCGGAGTGGCGCAAAAGGGCCGAGGGGCTGAGGGCCTGGCGGGGCTATCCCCCTTGGCTTTAATGACAGTGGCGTGAGGGCGGGGCTATCCCTGTTGGCCTTGTTGTCGGCAACATCTGGCTGGTGGTGGCGGCTTCTAAATATTTTATTTTGGTGTTGTATTTTTATCTGGCTTTTGGGCACTCCGGCGCGCCGCTGACTTGGACGCGATGCCGGGCTTAATGGTCATTACAGCAGTCGGGGGCCGTGAGTGCGTGTCCCATCCGACGGGTCTGCGGGTTCCGGTTGCTGGCGAGAATCCGCTAACTCGCCGCAGAAAGGG